TCCGTCCTCATTTAATTCAACCACTTAGCAACCTAGCCACACATCCTTTAACCTGATAACCTAGCATTCTTTAACCTGATAATCTCTCATTATTCTGGCTCAGAATTCCAGTGAAATGAGGTTCAGAGTCATTTTACGGATGTCATTCTTAATTTTACTATTGTCTAATTTAAAAGGAAAAATATTTCAGATAATAACATATTTTAAGGGGAAAAAAGCATGAAAATCATTTCTGTTCCAAAAATTGCTGATATGAGAATTTATGGGGAAACAGCTGCTTTTGTGAATAATTATTAGTACTGTGTTTAAGAAATGGGCAAGATGCCTAGAAATTGAATGAAATAATAAGCTATTAAATTGAAATATTAAAGGAAATAACTGAATTAAAAGTGATCATGTAAACCCAGCAGTAAATGTTGGGAGCTGTAGCTGATTGAACATATTTTCATCATCTGTTTTGTATGCTTAAATACAATTGCTTGATGTAAGTAAACACTTGATTGATATTCTGAATACTTTAAAATCTGCATATGCATCATGGAATACTAAACAATTAAAACTTAATTTCAGTGTAGTTTGATTGCATGTAAATTATTTCAATATTCATTTTTTCCTGTTCTGTTTGCTCAGTGCATATTTAATATCCACTTTTTGAATGCGTATCACCCTTGATTGGACTGCGAGATGAAGAGGACTCTGAAATTTCTTCCATTAAAAAGGATTGTCTTATAAATATTATTTGTGCCACAGGTCTACCTCTGCAGATTATTTTCTAAGTGTTGTGTACTTTTATTGAAGGCAAGGTAAAAAAACTGCTGCAGCCCTCCTTTATCAGCCCAGCACAAGGAATATGCTTACATGGTCGATGAGCATGTCTAAGAAGGCTTGTTGGTTGTAACTAGTCCCTAAAGAAATGTTTCCATCTTTTCTGCACTGTATTTCTTGCTTGCATGAACTCCCTTTCTCTTCCCTTCTTCCTCCCTCCACATGATTTTTTTTTTACTGGTTCCTGGAGGTCTTACGAGACATTTTAATATTATGGATAAATATTTTAAGTATTTTCAAGTTGACCATTTTCAGCCTGAAAAATATATCTCTAAGTGACCACATTCAATTCAAGTGTTGTGGAACGCAGATGACAAAATTTTGCCTTTCGATATATTTGTAGAATCATAAAAGCCTTCTTTTCTGCTCTGTGCAGGCTGCAGTCTGTGCACATTGTTTTGTTCAACAGTATTTCAAATTACCTTATTTCTGAACATCCAACAGCAGGAAACCCTGGGCATTTGTTTCTCTGTTTATTTATGCCAGTGAATAGAATAGCCTCTCTGAAGTTACAGATAACATTTTTTTTTATTACTTATGTGTTTTATAAAAATAAAATGCTTGCCTGGCATCTTTTCAGTTAAGTCACAGTCCCCAAATATGGGCAGGCAGCAGGTCTACCACTTCACCATGGAAGGCAGGTCTGGATTCTTCTCTGCCTTGACCATTTTTGACCTGCATGACACTTGTCATATCACTCACATTTCTTCTTGATTTCCTTATTCCTACTCATAGCCATCTTTTTATGTTTTTATAGTATACATAGAAACATTGTATAAGTGCATATAGTAGCAGTATTGTTTGATTAGATGAGACTTTGAAGTTAATATTGTCTGTACTAAACAGCTTGCAGGGCAAAGTTTTCCTGTACGTCCTACATAGTTAATTGCAGTTTGAGAGTTTTAATCTCGAAGGTCGTGTTTCTGTTGCCTGTCACTATGGCCAAACAAGTGGCTGAACTTCAATGTTTCCAGGTGGATTTCCTTATCTTTTTTTTTCAAGAGACATGTGTTTTGATTGCTGGACTTAGTGTGAAGCAAGCAATAAGTTGCAAGGTAGAGGAAGGGGTGGGAAGAGACTCTGTCCAGCACCAAGGTCCTGTCAATTCCATTTTAGAAGCTAAATATTGTGCCATGTGATTGTAGCACAAGAATAAAAGGGAGAGTGTTTTGCTTGAGTTTTGTTTGTTTGTCTGAGGAGCTGATAAACTATGTGAGTGTTCTAGCAACAGCAAGAGGTCTTCCCATGGCAAAACAGGCTTATAAAACAAATATTGTTAGCTTGAGGTTGGTCTCATGCTCTACAGACTTCTCTAATGGTTCCTGTAGATTAAAACCAACACAACCTCCATTCCAAAGATATTCAAAATAGCAATTATCTTCTAGTAAGGGTAGGTTAAAAAGTCCTGAACATTCATGACTGATTTAATACTGTTTGCCTAAGTAACTTGTCACTTTGTCTAAAACTTGTCACTCTTGTTTCAAACCTACACCTTATTTTAAAGCAATTCCATTTATAATAACTCATAAAGTAACTGTGATTGTTATTTCCAGCTCTCTTGGTTTGTGAAGAGCATTTCTTAGATAGTCTTTTTCCCCCCCACCATTTTTTACGTCAGTACAGATCTGAAAATAATGAGCTAACTTCACAGTTTTGTGAATAGGAGGCATCATGAGACGGAAGTATGTATGTATATTAAAGGAAAACAATATTGAAATCTTTGTGAAACTGAAAAGAAATTACAATTTAAGGCCATGTTTCCATTCTGGAGGCCAATCAAACAAAAAAAAAATTTTTGGTTGCAGGCATTTTTGCCTTGGCTGAAGGAAATGTCATTCAAATAGCCTGTATAGTGCTAATTTTGGAAAAACAAAATAGTGATACAGACATTCTTTTTAGGTAGTCATATAGCTGGATTCTGTTTGGCTTCAAATTTCCTCTCTATGTACTAAGAATGTATATTTAATCCATAATGACAAAGAAAAATGTGCCAGAAAAAGAGATATGCATGATAGGTGTTCAAGATACGTATATTTTAACATGTACTTATTAGTCTTAATTAAAGCATAGCTTCAAAAGCAGCATTACAAGACAATGTATTTTAATGAAAAATCTTTCATAGAGTGCATGTTGAAAATCTTCAGAGGTGTATGATGAAATGGTGGTAGACTGTATGTTTGCTGGAGATCAAGAGGTTAACTTCAATTCATCTCTTCCCCTCCCTTAAACTGGTTCTGTGAGGAGGGCTGCAAATTAGTACTTTAGGGAGATTAGCTTTAGGGAGGAAAGACTCCCCACTCCAGCTCTTAGGAACTTCACCAGGAGAGTGCATTTCCTTTTCTACTTAAGCTAAGGTTTTATACCTTCTTGTCACAAATGTTATTCCTTGAAGAAAAGTCCTCTCAGGCTCTATCTTGCAATCTGCTGAGTCATTCCAAATGTGCAGTAGAAGAGAAGAGAGCCATAAGGCTGTAACAAGAGGGAGGCAGAAAACCTCTGAGACTTTGGCCAAATCCAGGAATCCCAGTATAATGCATCATATGGGACTCCTTTACCCACCAAGGGGAAGGAGGATTCCTATCTTTCCTCTTGTTCACACCTGCCTGGGGAGAAGCTACAGCATTGCTCACTGTTTCCTAAGATACCACCCTGGTACAGAACTGTGTAAGTACTGTCATCCATGTGATGCTGTCTGACAATATTCATTGGGCAAACACAACCTACACCTTTATGACCCTGAGAAATAACAATGTTGGTTTTTCCCCACTGGGGCAAAGAAGTCATCTCCTTCCCAAACTTCAAGTGTCTACAACTGATCCATTGTTGAAATTGTTAACAGGTAAAAAGGGGGAACATTTACCAGTAATGAGAAAAATACAGAAATCATTCTGCTTGGAATCAATCTTTCACCTCCCAACTGGAATAAAATTGGAGTATTTTGGTGTTTTGCATTTATAAAAATAGTCACCAAATTATTTTCACAGGTAATTTTAAACAGTTTAAAATGTGCAATAAAAGAAAATATGTACAAATAGAATCACTTTCTCATAGTACATTGTCACATAACAGTTATCTACGTCTCGTGTAAGACAGACATTAGCCCAATGCGGAATTTCCCATTGGGATTAGTGTTTGCCAGTGCAATGTTGTCTATATTCTCAGAAGGTTTCTTTTGGATGGCTTGTTTCCTCCCTGCTTCTGTGGAATTCCCAAGGATAGCACACAAGAGGATGTATACAGCCTTGCATAATACCTCCATCCCATGTGGGTATTTGCAGTAATTCCCATGAGATAGTGTATGGTGTCTGGGTAGGAAGGTGACAGTCTGTCATCATAAATGGAAGGAGCTGTTGCTCAGCAAGCTCTGAGCCCACCAAAGGAAAGGTCTCGGTATGCCGTGTTACAGCCCTCCTGGCTTAACCAGAAAGGTGAAGTTCCAGATCTGCACTGGCCCCTTCCTACTCTACTGCATCTCTAGGTGATATTCGGATGGTGCCTTCTAGAACACATTTAGAGGTAATTTTTGCCCGTTTTTTTTTCCCCTGCTTGTTTTACCTCATTGACACAATCTTCTTCACCACTGGATCTCAGAAAATTCTCAGGACTCTGTGCTTGTACTGGGCTAAGGTAGTTATGAGGCAAAGCAGTGTCACCCCTACCTTTTTCAGTCCCTGGCAATTCATGACTGTTTAGGATGACTCGACTAGATTATCATCTTCAGAGAGCTGTATTGTGGGGTCTGCAAGGACAAACTCAATGCAAACTTCTGCAGGGGCCTCTGAAGTCATATGAGATTTGGGATTAGTCTTTTCTATAGAGGATTTTGAGGTTCTATCAGTGTTGTTGGCAACACCATTTATCTATGTTGTGGCTGGTATCTTCGTAAAGATTCAATTTGTTATGATCTACAGTATCTTCAACTCCCTTTGGATTCAACTAGATCCGATAGGACTCAACAATGAAATAAGGCTTGCTGAAAGTTGTAAATAATGAAGAAGGTAGTCATAATCCTGCCTCACAGTTCTGAAATCTGAGTATGGGCCTATCAAGTTTTTCCAAATATAACTTGGGCATCACTTTTGATGAGAACTGAAGGACTTCGTCTGCCCATTAGCAAAATTTGATGCAGCTCTTAAATTAACCTCAGCAAGTGACATGTTTCCTTTTACTTCCAGGTTTCAGAGGTTTGAGAAGGCATTTCTGCTAGCTGTTGACATAGGTGCTCGGGACCTGTTTATGGTGAGTTGTTTCTGGAGACAGAGGCTGTTGTCAGGTGTTAGTTGTCAGCTTTTGCACACATTAAAATGGTTCCATGCCATTTACAGTCCTGGACACTTACTGAAGACAGAACAATTCTACCTGGTTTGCCCTTTTTTATCATGAAACTCATCAGTAGTAATTGAGTATCATTAGAACCATTGACATTTTCCCCAGCATGTCCTACAGGCTATTCTGTATTTTTCAGGAATTGTGTATGTATATGTTTTTAAACTTTCCCTTTCTTCATCTGTCCTGATGTGGGTGAATGTCATCTTTCATTCCAATAAGCTTATGCGTTTCTAATCTGTTCCTTTAAGTCCAACTGCTGAGTCCTGGACACAAGAGCTGTCCATATCCTGGGGATCCTGAATGCTCTTAGTTTGTCTCTTAGGGTTTTGTGAAAAGTGGCAAATTATGAATGCTTCTGCAGGTGCTTTTAAAACAACAAAACCTCAGCAGCATCAACACAAGGGTTTTTACATTTCATGCACTCACTGCCCCCTCCCAGTTAATTAGCTACAAAAGTAAAATTAACCAGCTCTTAAAAGATCCTCTGTGTGAGCTCTGCAGGAGGCTCTTGTTTCATAAGATCTTGCACCACAATGTCACAGTAAGGTCAGATGGACAAAGCCAATCATGCTTTCCTAGTCTCTCAGCATGTTGCTGCTTCACAGCAAACAAAAACAATAGGAAAGGGTTTGTTGAAAAAAAGGCCCTTGAACGATTCCTTTGCTTGACTCTTTTGCATAATGAAGACATTCTGTTGTTTAAATTAAGCTTTGACACTAGATGTTAATATCATTTATCCCTTTAAGTCACTTGCCCTGCTAGTTTGATCTTGATATTTAAATTGTATGTTAAATTACACAATTAAATCCTGCTTTTATGGGTTATGAAAATTCCCTTCTAATTATATAAAAAGTTGTGTGAACCTTTTGATGTTTTTTTCATGGCTCTAATCATCTGGCTTGTTCCATCTAATTAGAAAGATGTGAATACTACGATAAACTTCCCTAAGTATGCATCAAAAGAATGTGATGGAAATGTCAGACTTTTAGGAAATTCATTACATGTTCTGTGTTTACCCTCCTCGATTTTTCTTCTTTTTAAATCATCTTCTTCCTTTTTTTATTGAATGTAAACTCTTCAATACAAATTGTATACCTAATCATGTTAAGCACTGCTGCAGCCACATACAAGATTCAGAATGCAAGATGGCTGGAGGAGGTTGCAGCTTTTTGTTGAGGACTCTACCACCATACAGATAATAAATTCTCCCTAATTTTAGCCATTCTGGGAGATGATCCAGCATCTGGTCTGCCATCTCAAGGGCCCTCTCTTGTATGGCTGAGAGAATTTCCTACATGATCTTTTTCTCTTTCCTTCCCTCCACTGACAGGAGGTAGCACCTCTGTCCCAGGGTGGGGAACACCCATGTTGGGTCATGAGATGGGTGCACCGCTGCTGACAAGAGGGAGGGACTGTCAGTATGTGGCTTCACACATGGTAACATGTCCTACTCTCAAAAAAATGTTGTCCAACTTTCTTCAAGAGGAGTTTCAATGTTCACAGAGAAATTAGTTCCATCCTTTCCTTTCTTTGTTTTATCTTCCGTCTCTCAACACCTACTCTTCATTTCCCATCCTACCAATGCCCTTAAACATAAATATATATTTCTGAAGAGTTCCTCCTGGCTTATGTTACTGTGAGATCAAAACAAGTTCTTTAATGTCTTCATTCTGCTTGCATTACCTTTGAGATTCCTCATAGTTCCCCTAAATTATGCAACAAGCAGCACACATACCTGCCTCCTCTGGGGAAATGTCCTTTTGCTAATTCATTTAAGTAAGTTACTAATGAACAAACTTTACAATAAGCTAACAATGGCACTGCTGCAAGACCACTAAGTACAGGACTCGAGAAGTTTAAACATGCATAGGTCATTAAAAGTGTTTATTTGTGCCATGGTAATTTCTAGGGAATTGGGCTTCATTTTGTTTAATACTCTGTGAAAATTAGATAACCTGTTCCCTGAAAGCTTAGAGTCCTTCTAGGTATTAGTATAGCAATGCTACTGCTAAACAAGGTTTGTGCATCCCTCACTTCTGCTTTACTTTGCATGATTCCTAAATATTGTTTATATAGGTTGAAATGCAATTAATAAGATACATCTTGACTTTACATATATTCAAAGCATTTTTATCCATTTATAAAACCTCAGATGGCTCTAGGAGTCACGCCACATTATTCCCAGTTACTTCAATGGGCTTTCAAGAAGAAATAATAGTCTAAATAAAGGTATCTGATGACATAAGCAAAATGAGAAAGAAAAGATCTGTTTATTAAAAGGGAAGAGAAAAGGAACAAAAAGGAAAGTTTAGAGAAGAACAGATATAACAGAGGCTGAGGAGGATGTAAACATTGAATGCTCATTGTCTGAGACCTCTTAAGAAAATGTCCTATATCTTGGAGACTTTATCCCAAGCATCTCGTTCACCAAACAAGCCTCTGCAGCATTCCCATTGTTTGTTTTGAGGTTGCAAAGAAGTTTGAAAGAATCTGAGGGCTGATTTCTTTTGTAGAAATGAAATAGAGAAAAAAGAGGCTTAAAAGTTAGTCTTATAGCGTCACTAGTACGATGCCATGACAAGACACACATACACTGCTGTGTCGCTCTATAAGCTTTACCCTCACGTCACATCGAAGTCCATCAATTAATATCGTCTCCTACAAAGTTCAATAAAAAAAATAAAACTGAAAAGGACATAATATCACGAACAACAACTCCATTTATGGTACAGTGACTGATCCAATCTGTGACAGAAAAGATCAAGCAGTGGAAGGGTTGTTAGCTTGAAATCCTTTTATAGTACGTTCCAGCTCTCAGCTGCTGAAAATTCAAAAAGCTATCCCAAGTACCGAAGGTAGCAAAAAATGCAAGGAAAAGACACTTTAATAAAACTGTCAGATCTTGGGTGATGTACTGATGAGGAAAGTGCATGCTTCGAAGAAATGTTGGAGTGTTGCCCAGAAATATTCTATAGACAAGCACACATCAGTGTTTCAAACGAGTTCTGCTCACCAACGGCCAGCTCTGTGAGTCACAAAGGTGAGGGGAGAAAGGAAGTAGTCCAAAAAGTAAGTAAACTGTTAAATGATAAAATACAGTGCTTTCAGCAAGTTCCTGATAAGCAGCTGGAAATTGTTTTTATTGTCACCATTGTATTTAGAGGGATGTGATCTTTGGATTGATAAATTTTTAGATAATTGTGTGAAAAAAATCTGTCATGAATATTCAGCTAATTTAATTCCTTTTTTTCTGCCATCCTTTAAAGCACCCTGTCATCTGTTGGTTTTTTCTTTCTCTTTTTTAATTTTCTAATACAATTCTACTCAAAGAGTTATAAATTCTTAGAAAAATGCAATTTTGCTGCTTCATTTGAATGAGAAGCACCTACATTTGATCTGAAATAGTTTAATTACGAGATTTTATATCTGTAATCTTTCTAAGTTTGTTTAGAGATGATACAAAGCTACTTTATTGTTATTATTATTATTCTTTATGACAGCAACTTGAGGAATGACAAAGAAAGCCATTTACCAACCTACTGCTAACCTCTATTTCTTACAAGGCCCTTGTTAGTTAATGATGAATATGTAGCATCTTTACATCTCTTTACTCGGAACAGAAACCAGGCAAAACCAAAATCTGAAATAACAGCCTCTTTGATATACACAGAATGCACAACCTCTTCACTGACAGAACTTCATTTCTGGCACTTGTTTCCATCCTATCCCCAAGTTCCTTTTTTAAAATTGCATGGAGGTATACAATACTTCTCATAGTTTAAACTACAAATAGACAGTCATTAAGCATAGTCAGAATGTATTTTAAATAAGTGAACACAGTCTGCCTATACATTCAAATCTCTCTAAGTTCAGACTTGTCCAAGAGCCCTTGGGTCTTCTATTGTTACCTAAATAAGCTGACAATATCTACTGTTCAATCTTCATAGAAATCATACTTTGCTACTCAGGCTCTTTTCTCCTGGCAACCATGTTAGACCTACAAAGAGAGGAAATACAGAGCTCACCACAAGTTTGTAACTCATTACTTTGCTCTGAGACACTTGCACATTTTTAAGTCACACCTGTGTTTGTGATGAGAAAATGCTGCTGTCTCCTTCATACTGTGGGGATCCTGCAAGTCAGTACCAGGCTTTCCTCTGTGATCATCTGAGTTTCCCTAACTTTCAGTTTGCTTCTTATTTTTGCTTTAAAACTTTTTAGTTGTAGTATTAAATGAGGAGTTAATAAAAACAGCATGTTTTTCTCCTAACACTATCACTTTCACTTTTTTCATATAACTTCTCTTTCTAAAGTCACCTTTCCTGTAAGAGTTTCTGTCATATTGATGGAAGTGGCAGCAAATTCACACAAAGAAGGACAATTTCACCTGAAAACTACTGAATTAGTGAGAATATAGTTGCTTTTATGGTATGCAGAGTTCGATATTTCCAGCAAATTGTTATTTTCCCTTTAAATTTTTGCATGCAGATGGATTGCAGATAATGGCAGAACTCAAGTCTTTGGAAACCAAATGACATCTTCAGCAAAGAAGTGGGAGAAAAAAAATTACCAGCTGTTCATGGGTTTCCCTCACTTTCTATGGTCATAGCTGACACAGAGCAGCCCATGGCCATGGTGTCAAATGAGAAGGGGATTAATTGTTGCTTTATTAATGATAAAGGATGAAACTTTACTTCAAGGGCCAAAACCAAGGGCAGCGAGACTGTGATTTATCAGTAGGCATATGTTCTCCCACAAGTAGTGCTTTATGTAGTACAGGTGGGTTTCATCTCAAATATTAACACACAATATCTAGCCTTGATTTTTAACAAGGACATGGGATAGAACAAGTAGGAATGGCTTTAAACTGACAGAGGACAGGTTTAGGCTCGATATTAGGAAGAAATTCTTCCCTGTGAGGGTGCTGAGGCACAGGTAGGACAGAGAAGCTATGGCTGGCCCATCCCAGGAAGTGTTCAAGGCCATGAGTCATGTCAACTGTGTGGGTGCTAAAACCATTGAACACCCACTGTTGCTCTTATTACCTCCAATATCAGCACAGAGAGGACCACCATCGCCCTACTCAAAGAACAGTGAGTGTAACAAGAGAACCTGCAAACAAATATTAGTTCCTAAAGATCTTTACCCCAAAAGTCCTGTACTAGGTGGAAACCTTTGAATCATAGAATCATTAAGATTGGAAAAGACCTCTAAGATCATTGAGTCCAACCGTTAAACCTGTTACTGCCAGGTCCACCACTTAACTATGTCTCTAAGCAGCACATCTACATTTAACATGCTTCAAATAGAGACTGTCAGCCAGAAGAATTCCTGTACTTCAGATCTGGTTTACACAGAGCCACCTCTCATCAACCTTCTTTTAATTCATGTTGCACCAACAGTAGACAGATTGGTTTCTTTCATACAATGAGTCAATAGCTTCACTTTTATCAGTATGTGATTGGTCAGTGTTTTATTCATTGCTGTATTCAACAGCACGAGTAAGATAATAAATTTGCATTGGGAAGGAATTAAAACATAATGGTATGTTCATCAGTTCCATCTGTGTTTGTGATCTAAATAATAAAAGAACCACTTTCTTTCAAAATCCCTTTTGTTGCTCCTATGAGATTCATTTTAGATTAATCTTTTTTTTCTCTTTTATTTCCAAAGGACATCCATTACCTTGCACTAGATAAGGGTGAATTGGCACTAGCTGAAGTGGCGAAGAAAAAGGCTAATGACATTGATGCAGAATCAATAACTACTGGAATTGGTAAGAATTAATGGTGTTTAAAAAGCCCTCTTTGTTTTAATCAATACTTGTCCTGTAGAACATGGTGTTATATTTGTAGGGGGGTTATTGTTTTGATTGCATTGTTTCATATGAAAGTGAGACCATATTTCTATTTGTAACTAAAGAGGGAGGGTTATAAAAATAACATAGCTTTGCCTTTCAGTACATGTGAGGATCGCTATGAAGTGAAAAAAAAATTATACTATGGCTACATAGAAAAGTTCAAGCTGTACAAACTGAGTTCAGTGCAAGAGGTAAGGGACTGAACCTGAAAATGAATGTTTATATCAGTGTTAAAGGCCAGGTATATCAATCTCATTCACCTGTGAGTATTTTTGCTGATACACACTGTGCAAATAACTGGAGTCACATCAATGCTTTGGCAGCATTTGGATCAAACATTTACTGATGCAAACACAGGCTCAGATCCTGGCTTTAAAGCAACAACTTTGCATACAGTGGGATTCTTGTTGTTCCATAAAGAATATTGATGCCAAAGTTGCAGTGTTAGACTAATAGGTAAAACACAGACAACTTTTCAGACAGGGGAACTCATAACTTGTTCACTTTCTCCTTGTGTTTCTTCTGAATTGCCTTGAAGAGATGTATGCAAACATGGTAGACCATTCTGATTTGATGCATCATAGCATGAACCAAGCAGAAGGTGTCTATGTCTAGGGAGCTGACCTCCAGCAAAGAGAAAGTAGACAAAGGGGAAAAAAACAGACCCACAAAAATATATATTTGTATAAAATATGCACAGTTCTGCCTATTCTACGGCATCTTTGAATATTAGAGGAAATCACTGAGCTTTTGTCCTTGTCCCATGCCAAAAAGTAGAATAGGATTAAAATCTGGAAGGTTTTTTTGTGAGTTAGAGTCACAAAACCTTTGTGATCTTGGGTCACATAGTGTTCTTTGAGAACTCTACATCTCCTTGTTTACCCAGAGCATACACAGAAATGCCACTCTAATACACAAATGCAGAGAGGTGGTATATGCATTTATGTGGCTATTTCCATAGACTGTATAAATCCATGACTTTCAAGACTATGCAATACAACATTGCCTCCTTCCCTCTCCAGCAGTGTAGGAATCAACCGGTGCCTATCCTAGAGTCTTTTCTTCGGGGTCTTTCATTTTCACACATAACTCGCTTCAAGCATTTTTTCCACCACAATTCAGCCTTTGAGCAAGCGCTTTCACCACTAGAATTCCCAAAATGGACATTTGTTCAGGTCATCCCTTACTGGGCACTCTTTAAATTGTACAGTTCCATTTCTCTTGCTTTCTCTTTTCTTACTTCTTAGGTATTTGTCTGCTGCACCTGATATAACCGAGATACCAGGGACTTGCATCTGATCATTATCTATTCTCTGATACTTAATCCAGAAAATTTAAGCTTGAATCAGTGTCTTCATTTAATTCCTTGCGAATCTATTACTAGATTTCTAAAGTTAGGCGAATTTTAAGTTTACTGAGAGCCTTATATAGCATCGTAGACCCATATGCAGGGAGAGAGATAGGGAAAAAACCTGAGGTGATCACAAATGTCTTACTTGCATATCAGATGTGATGCACGTGTTGCTACAATTCAGTTATCAATGTGCAGGCACACATTCTTCCCCTCCTCCAGACCAGTCCTACAGTTACCTCTGTAATGCTCCATTAGCATAAATTATTAAAGTTGTTTTATATGATAAAGTATTTTGCAGAATAATTAAGCATCAGAATGATTTAAAATACTTTTCAATGGCCCCAGGGACAAACTGTCACTGAGATTCAGTCTCTAAACAGTAATGAATTTGCATCCAATTCATTTTATATGAAAATAAACAGGAATCTCCCATGAGTTCATTTCGTTGCAGATTGGATCACACCTTAAACATGTGAAATCTTAGCCACAGGTTTTGTTTTATTATACTTTATTTCAACGTCCTTTCTTAATGATGTTTTTATTTCATAACCTGTGTATGGCAATAAAGATGACATCAAGTACAAACTTTTTGGCCCTATGAAAACAAAAGATAACAATTTCTTTATATATAAATGGCTTTATTTTTCAAATATTCGGGGGGGGGGGAGGGAACCTCATGCCAGAGTCAGAAGTTTTAAAATGAAGTTTTAAACAAGTTTCTGTCCACTAACTATTTCCCATGCCCAGTCCTCTTCATCTAGTCCCTGTTCTCTAAAGCTTCCAGCCACTCAGTTCACCAATGGTCACAATTCCTAGATAAACCTCCAAACTTCCTGAGCACTCACTACAGGCTTCTACAAGAAGACAGCAATCTAAGCAGAGGCTATTGAGGTTATACTGGACATCTGTCTACAGCATGTTTCATATTTATATATATGTATTTTGGTCATAAATAGTACCAAAGTGAACCATTCTTACATATCAACATGTGATGGTATTTCCGGAGATAGCCCGTCCCCAAAACTTAGCTCAGCACTGCATGAAAATAAGATGAGTCAGTGTTCCTGGCTGATTCCCAAGCCTTTGAGAGTGCTCCATCTTGCCCCAGATATATTTAATTTGTCAGGATATTTCTGTGTAAAGGCCTCACTTCAGATGTAATATATTTCAAACTCAGACTTTAGGAAAAGTTTCAAGCTCCTACAAATAATGCAGGATGACAATATAATTTGATCTGAAATTTACAGATGTCATTCAGAGTTCTATAATCATTGGGAGATTCCTCACATATAACAAGATTTGTGTCAAGATAAAACTAAAAATTGATTGATTATTTTAAAATGTTCTGTATTTTGACTTTTCTGAGATTGTTTTTCTCAGATTGTGGTTTGCTAGACACCATTTTGAAGAAGCCACCCTCAAAGCTAAAAATGTCTGTGGCACTTGATAAAAACACCTGCACACCTCCAGAGGACAGTAGTTTGGTGAGAATATTGCTGAGCAAGATGAAGTGTTAAGTGAGCTTCCTACAATGGTTTTGGCATAATCAGATTTTTTGTTCAGCTGATTAAAATCTTCTAAAGAAAATTATTCTCATAAGATTTTATGTTTGACAGCCTGTGAAAAGGCATCTTGAGGGATGAGAAGATTGAAGTAATGGTAACATACATCTCAGAAATGGCATTAGCTGGCTCCTCTTTCCCCACTCCCATTAGGTCAGCAGACCAGTGGTCATAGATATTGTGGTTTCTTCTGCCAAAGATTTTCTGTTGAATTATTTCTGTAGCAGATCCATGAGTTTCTTAACAAGGTCAGGGAGTTCTCGTTTAGCCTTGCCTAAAATGTGTGCTGGATTAAAAGAGAATAAATATTTATTTAATATTGACAATATATGTAGGTTACTAGTAAATTCTTTTTAAGAGTGTGTCCTGGCAGATACTCTCCTGGAACAGTGTTGTCTGTGGTGGCAGAGTGCGTCTGATCGGTGCTGTAAACTGTAGGTTGCTAATGTAAAACTTGAGTTGCAAAGAACTGACATGGCACAGCCTGTTAAGAAATGCCATAACTAATAATGATCACAGAGGTGAAGAACTCAGCCCTTCAGACATTATTGCTCAATGAATATCCAATGAAGAGCATATGTAGGCAGTGTCAGAAAGTTTCCCAAGGCCAACTTCCAACAAATTACATTAGGGCCTAGCAAGATGATTTTAACCTTCAAATCAACAGCTTTCACCCAAAAGGGATTCATGTTGTGACAAGACAGATAACTGCTGCACAGTTGAAAGGCAAATTGGGAAACCTTGTATTTCTACTTAGAATTAAATTCAGAATATTAGTAACACTAATGTTTAGGCAACATTTCTAACAGAAGTATCTTAACAAAAAGACTGATGTTGAGATAATTGCATTATTCTGAACTGTTAGATGGGACTGACTAACATTCTGGTATTTCACTAGTGTCTCATGAAAGCACTTGAGGTTTTTTCCAGTTAAAACAGAATTTTAAAATATTTCTGGAAGTATTCCATAGTGTTTGCAAGTGAGATAGGAAATCTTATCAGACAGAAATCCTATCTCACAGAGACTGAAGTCTAATTTCCCACACTGTTTGAAAAATGACATTCAAAATGTAGGGACCCTAAATGTTTCACCTTACTGGCAGGGAACATCAACAGTTTGAACCTTAAGTGGAGAATTTATTAATTTAATCTTAGTTCTGTGGTAGCGTTCTGTATTGAATGGCTTACACGTTCTTTGAGATAATTAATAATGACACATGGTATAGTGTCTTGTCTTCCATACAGTGTGTCTGAGACACCAGTCTGGTCTTGCATACAGTCTGCTACCTCCAAATCACTTATAATTTGCTCAGATCTTGCCCTATTCCTGACAGTCCTGGGGAGCCTGCTTGCATTTCAAGACCGTGTTTAGAATTGTCCTCTTGTGTTTGTAACCTTCTCTGGCCCTGCATTAGCTTAGTTGGTAACATTTCTTTCTCTTCTGATCCATAAGGACTCCTTTCATCTCTCAAGCAATAGACTTTTTCCTTACCCTCACATCCCCTCTGACACTGATGGCAATACCTTTTTAATTTGTTGCTCTTCCTTGGCGTCTTCTCTTGTCATCTAATGAGTTTCAAGTTAACTGAGAATCTTAACCTTCATTTCGTGGCATGATTTTTACTTCATTGTGTAACATGTTTATGGCATACTTCAAAGATATTATCCCATACACAGATGAACTGTGATCTGGAAAGACTTGGGGGACACCTCTTTATGTTACAGTGCTTTGGAGTTCTGCTCCTTTCTGTGTAAGTGTTAGATCTCCTATTTATTTATTTAGATTTTTGGTTTAAGTTGATCAAAACCTCTGGAATCAAATATTTTGCTTTTATTTTGTGACTTTTCCTCAGAGAGCCAGAAAATGTTTTTAACGAAAAATGTTTTCTAAGTATGATTGGCAGTTCACCTATGGCAAAAATTTAGTTTCCACAAGCACTTTTTAAATTTTGTGCCACCCAAGATGAGTGTCTTTGAAGATACATAGCAATTTGAAATTA